GGTTGATTTAACTAAGTAATGTTAATCTAAAAAAATTGTATACAAGTATACATATATCAAAGACACAACGAAAAGAAAAAATATATATTATGTTTTCTAGAGAAACGTACAGTAATTAATATGGTTGTCTCAGTGACTTCATCTATTTTATTTTTTATTTTTTGGACAGTATTTTTTAACGATTTTTGTAATCATTAGTTACTCTCCGGACGTGTTTAGTTTACAGCCATGTATATTAATGAAAGAGAACCGAAAATAAAAGTAAAAAAGAATATCAACATCATGAGTACACGTTAAATATCAGGTGACATCGTGTGATGGTATTAAGTTAAATTCGATACAAAAAGTTTTATTTCATCATTAGAAAGGAAAATCCTTAGGATACAGTAAAGTTGTGAATCAATAAAAACACATCGAATCTAATAATATTATTCAATTTAAATAATGTAATATTTTTTGAAATTATAAATTATTTATTTGATTTTTTATGTCATATGCTAATGCGGTCAAATAAGGATTAATATATTGTGGTTTCATGTACGCTCATGCGTTTGATGCTTGGAAAAAATAAATAAATTTAAACCATCCTGTTAAATCATAACAAATGTAAACATTTATTTTTATGAATAATTTGCAATGAATCAACACTACATAATGTGGTTTCTACGGATTTAGTATTAATTTACTTTTGTATGATAAATGTTCGTGTTAAGCAGAAGAGATAAAAGGTCGGGAAAGTATACCATATTAAATTTAACGTTGGAGCATGAATTTATTGTAAATTATATTTCATATGACACATGCACATGGAATCCATTAGTGGTATTATTAACGATTAGTACACGGAATACTGCTAAATTATCGGTTAAGCAAACGAACATTAAAGTCCTAAAATTTCCCAAATAATAGTGGTTATCCTAAAATATCTTTATTATTTAAATGTCTTATAAACGCAGCGACCGTTGTTCTTTATTTTACATTTCGACGTAGAATGAAAATTGCACTTGTACGAACGAGTACACATAAAATAAAGAACATTGATGACGTATCTGCTAAAATTCCGATCAGATACCGCATGACGGTAACGCCCGGTACAAACCGTTTGCCATCGTTTCTCCCTAACGCTTCGACGTTGAATAGAAAAATAATTAACGCATGTTGTTCGTCTATAACACAATTACACGCATACATATATCCAAAAACAACTTGGGCTGCCTAACCTATGGACTACATAAGACTTGAGCTGTGGACGACGTGTGCTGGCTATTAGCTCCTAGATTCGGGTCGCGTTATCTGTTCCCGGGAGTCCGTGGATTATGACAGACATTAAGCAGACAGCAAGTCTGTGTTCTGTATGCGAAACTTGGGTCTGCTTTTGCGATCGTCGACCATCTTTCACCGTGGGATTATCGCAGCGAGCAATATTATCAGCGGATTAGAGTCGAGTAACTTGGGCTACGCCGAGGAGTTCGGAAGCCTTTGTGGAGCGGAGTTGATGTACGTTCGTGTACGCGCAACTAAACTTTATCGTACTATCGTGTATAATAATACATACATGAGAAATAACTGATACTAAACATTATTAATTATAACACGTTCGAGGTTTTCACGTGGACCATATTTATTTACTGCGAACGAAGACGGAGACTGTGAAATTAATTAGTCGCGATTTCGTAACAATTACCACGTACAATTAATTAGACTAATAGTGTTTACGTGATGCGGCATTTTATGTTCGTAAATAGTCGACACACCATGAGTTTATAGAAAAGGAGAAAAAAAAAAATTACAAAAAACTCCTTCTCCGAAGGACCGCATCTTTAACTCGATTAGCAATCGCTAGACGAGTACCGAAATATGTTGATTCCTGTGAAATAATAAACCGACTGCCGTCGTTTCAATGGATTAGCCTGACAGCCGTTTTACATACGCATCCTTCGGCCGTCATTTCGTCCTTATGGTATTCCTTAATCGCTTACCGTGGCAAAAGTTTGGAGTGCTCCTTGCTGTTCTCTATAGCCTATAGCCACATCAAACCAACTTCGAGTTTTAATATAAAACGTGATGAAATTGAAGAACACATGTCTCTCTGGTTTCTGATTCCGAGTAACGTGAAAAACAAATTAGTAATAACCTACAGCGTTTTGCGATCACGTTGAACGCCCGCATCAATACATTGAATTACAATACAAATCGCGCCGCTGCAGTAATCATTCCGTGGTTGTTGCCTCGTTAACGATTCTTTTAAAACATTCAAACATTCGGAAACTTTAAACTTCTAACGTTTTCGAACCATAAACGGATGAAATTACTTTAACACACAACGTAATTAATAATAATAAATGTTTCCCTCACTCGTAAGCTTATGTCTATTTTTTTATTCAATCAAATAAAAAAAAATGTATTCACAATTAGCACGTGTACGTGAAACATATCCATAAGATATATATATATATATATAGTATATAGTATATATATATATTATATAAATATTATTTAAATACGAATATTGGTTGGGAAAGAATACTTTTGCATTTTATAACACTTACGTGTAACAACTATAAATACAACCGCAAATAAGTAAAATAAATATTAAGTATTTTACTACATAAAAAAAAAGAAAATAATGAATAATTCAACCAAAAGGATTTCTTTAGCCGATGACGTGTTTAGCATACGGTACCGTAGTATTCGATTTACAGTATTTCATCATATCAATACATCAATATTCATTTGTAAATAAATAAAGGGAAATCATCCGTAACATTAACAAATCTGAAATCATTCGTTTCTTTACTATTAAACGGTACGTCTTACCATTCGTCATGTGGTTTTTTAACTTACAATGGCTATGGATATGATCGGTTAAATTATGCATACAAGGGATAGAGATCGAATAGCATCGTTCGGTGGAAAAGCCATCATAGGTCATCATCATCATCATCATCATCATTTTTATCTATTTTATATCGTATATTCGATGGTACGTATGATAGTTCATTTTTAACCAAAAATGAGAATAATATCGGAACACCGACTATTTAAATTTATATAAAGTATATTATTCATATTTATAAATAATAAATTAATTTAAAATATAATTTTGAAATTGTAATTTTAAACTCATTAATAAATGTTTAGTTTATGTATGAATTATTAATTTATATCATGTGGTTGTAATGTTTGTATAATAATATAATTATTGATTCATACTTTATATGTATTTTTTATAATATTATAAAATTATTTATTTTTAAAAAAATTACCCCCTACCCAGAAAATAAATACATTAGCTGTAATAAACTAAATATTCATTGTTTGAATGATTGTAAAAATCTAAATTTGCGTTTGTTCAAATGTAATTTAATATGATAATTTAACTATAAAAATGTAATATATTTCTCATCAATATTTTACTGTCTTTATTCTCAGTCAAATTTTATTAATATTTAAACTTTTAATATAATATTAACTTTTTCATTAAATAAATGTACTTTCGTTTTTTAAGTATCATGTATATTTTTAAAAGAATTCGTTATAAAAATAATATTTTCTTTTACACACTTTTCCGTCGCATTTCCATAGTATTGAATTCTAATTTTATATTTCAATCATTTATGTTCAACTTCAAACACTGCCAAACAGTTCTTTTGAAATATTTATTCTTCGTAACTAGCGTTTACGGTATTAATTTATCATCAATCTCATTCAAATTATAATATACCAATAACGCATGTTGTTTTAGGATACAAGTTAAACTACAGGATACGGGTTGTACAATAATATTCGGTATTAAGTAACGGTTTATTGAATTTATTCGTTGTTAAAACAAACGAGGCAGATCTACATAAATACATTTCGCAAAACAAAGTCACGCATATGTTTAATTCTTGTGCGTTCAAAAAAAACGTATTATACCTTTTAAATTATACACGGAGTTTTGAATTAGTTTTTTTCTTTTCCGCATTGCGTAATGTACAGGATTTAATTCGTACATGGACACCTGAACACTGACATTTCAACACGAAACACGTATCGTCGTTAAAGGTCTAAAACACCGTGTATTTGTCGGTAAAAATTATGCACTAAAAAAAAACTAAACTGTTTAAGCTTTATAATCGTTTTCGGCGTGCAGAGTACGTTACTACTGTATCGTAACAATGAACCAAGCCCCATGAAAAGAAAAAAGAAACTATTAAGCTCGGAAAATTGAATGGACAATTCTTTAACGCTGTAAATGTGAAAAGCTCAACGCGTAGAACGTTTAAAAGCGACCCTCGAACAATGTACGTTACCACACACGTGTATCTGACGTAAACAAAAATATCGACTGAACGAAATCGTAGCCGTCCGGTTATGGTGTGGAACACTGTTAAAGTGCATTGCGTTCACGAACAAAACGGTGTTCGAAATAATTATTCGACGAACGGACCGTCGGTTTCGTCGTGTAACCGGGGCGAGCGGACGGGTAGGAGCGGTGCGCGGTTTGTAATGATAATTACGACGACGACGATGATGATGATAATAATAATAGAGTTGCGATTGTTTGGAAGTGACCGGTGGAAAGGACGCGGGTAAAAAAGCGCACGTTTTACTATTAGCGAATTTTTTTTCTTTTTTTTTTTTTTTTTATCATAACGTACCGCAACCGGTGACCCGTATCCGGGAAAACACCTGCTGCTGCCGATGTCACCGTATTGCAACGATCGTGCGGACCGTTAAAACGCGCGTCGCCTCCTGGTGCGAACGACTAGCGGGTCCGGCACGTTATAATTCTATGCGGTAACGAAAGCTCCGGGAACGGTCGTCGGGCCGGTGAACAATACAATGTTCGTTGCGCGTGCACGCGATCGAATGGGGGGGGGGGGGGGGGGGTGTGTGTGTGTGTGTGTGTGGTAAATACGAATGCAAAAAAACAAAAAAAAAAAAAAATTTACGAAAGCGCAAAACAAATGTCGGACTCGTCTCGACGTTCTTTCTCCGCGTACAATTCGTTTGCCCGCATCGCGCGTACAACGTTGCGGACACCGCGATCGTCGCCGATATTGTTGTTCGCCGAACTCCTGTTGCCGACCGGTTCGCCGTTTTTCCGGGAAAACGCGCGGCGTACAACGGCACAGGTGTCACGTGTTTCCGGACGCGCTTCGCGTTCTGTTCGTCGGCAACGTTCTAGTTGCTCGAGTAACCTGGAGATCATCGTGTACGGCGTAAGCATATCTCGTTGTTTTTTCGTTATTATTGTTGTCAAGTTGTGGAGAAACCTTTTTTTTTCGTTTCTCGTAATGGCCGGAGAACCAGAGTCGGACGGGCGCGTGATTAAGGGACAGGGTCGGTAGGGGAGTGAACGCGCCCGCTCCCCAAAATCGTATTTCGCGTTAACCACGAGTCAAGATGTACACGGTATATACCGCTCTGCTGCGCATTAGTTAAGCCCCAATAATTTTGAAAAACGTTAATCGTTCTCCTTCCCCTCGAACAGGCATCAATTCACGTGTCTACTACCAATCGTCGAATAAACCTCGTGATGGGTAAACAGCTAACTTCGTTTTTTTTTTTTTTTTTTTTTTATTGTACTCAGCTCATTGAGTAGTATATTAAAATAATTTTTCTCGACATTTATTCCGATGTGCTTATCGTGATAAAATTCACTCCCATAAAAAATCGTCTTAATTTTAATCACAGTTCATTTTCAACGGGTGACCAGTAATTTTTTTTCAGATTATATTTTCTACAAAACTCGTTTAAAATTTTTAGTCACGCGACTTATGATTATATGATTTCAGTGTACAACATCAGATAATTGGTCACAAAATGAAGTATAATAACTGACTAGTATCATATAATTTTTTAATACCCTCCCGTATTCAAAGTATTCCTCGAAAAGAAAAAAAAAAAAGAAAAACAATTGTCGGTACATAGGGCAATTATTCCAAATTGGAATTAATTTTTTTTACATTCGAAATCTTTGCACATCGCAGTTGATGCGAATAAAATTCACACGATCCTCTGAACAACCTTAGCGATTAATTAAATCGACTGTCATTTTCATTCGAATCCACTGGGCTAATAAAAACATGGCATGCACATAAATTCTATCGTGCAGAACTTTCTCGGAAGTACAAAGCCAGCGAAGACTTGGGCGCGGCAAAAATGTTTCTACAGATTTAGACTAAAACGCTCCAGGTTTGTGTTTAACACCAAAAAAACGTTTACCTAATTTACAACACAGTCCACATTATACGGCGTCGCAATTACGGTTAAAAACGGCAATAGGTCGCTACGATTATGTTCGATCCAATTTCGTTTGCATAATATCGTTTCTGCCGTTGCGCCAAAACGTGCGGCGCAAGTCGAACACTATGCACAGGTCAGTGCATGGCACTAATCCAAATCCGGGTCTACGAACAATCAATCGTCTTGCCAAAATCTTTCCCTGTCCCGTAAGTTTTTACACACGAAAATAACATTAAGTCAATACGGACGAGTCTATTTTCGCATTAAAAGGCTGCTACTATAAGGCCTCCAAGTCTATCAACATTTCTTAAAGCGATTCGATCATTGATCCTTCGTAATCATTGAACTTACTAATAACAGCGTGTATATTTTTTTGATATGTTGAAATGTTTACGGAACTGCGCCGCGAGAACGTACCTGAAAAGAGCACACTGATGAATCATCACTCAAGATTTCTAGGAAAAATAATAATCTTAATCGGATTATTAACGGAATTTCAATTATCATGTTATTGTATCGGCCATGTTCTTACGAAATGTGGATCATCAATTTAAATCTGCTTTAAACTTATCGTTTTATTTGCCATCTAGTTACGAAACACAAATGTGTAGCTGCGGTTGTGGTTTGTCAATCAGAGTGTTAGAATTCAAAATATTCTAATAACGTTTCGATTTTTCTTATACGGTGTTCAGATTTTTCCGCTTGGGCAGAGAACATTTTCGAGCGCTATCATATTCGCATTACGTTCGATACCTGTTATATTATAAAACGGGCATACGATATTATGACAGTTATACCTAAAGTTCTACTGGACCGATTCACTTAGTTTTTTATATTCAAACGTGTGTACTTTGTACGGAGATCCGATGAAAAAAGGTAAAAAATGTACACAGTTAAATAGTTATTAGAAATATTAAACTTTCCGTGTACACCGTATGGATTCGGCATCAGAACTGAGGCGTGGCGCGGTGACACGAAACAACCGCATGGAGGGGGTGAACTTTTGGACGGTCATATATTACTGTAAGGCCGCCTTTGGCCGCTGTCGTACTCCGAACCGTTAGATAACCGAGACGAAGATAGAACGGTAGCACAGAATCATTCTCTATGATGATAATAATTTGTTTTTTTTTTTTTCAGTTAAATTTGTCACTTATATATATATATGCGTGTAAATAAGTACGTAGCGTACTTAACTATTATATAAATATTCTGCTCTATTAAAAGTTATTTGATAAATTTTTATTCTTTGATTTACCGAAGTCATGATTTCGGTCAACTATTGCTTTCATTTTATTCTAAATATATAATTGAATATCTCTTTGTGTTCTGAAAAAATGTTCGATCCTATCCAACAAATAATACGAAAACACGTGGTTAAAACAAGAATATTTACATCAAATTCAACATAATACATTTCTAAGTTCACATATATGTTATGTTTTCACATCTTTTGTCGGTCGTCTTTGACACTTTCCAACTTTTTTTTTTTTAACGAATATTAATTTTAAACTAATGTCATCAAGTTGAAAGAATTTGGTTCCCGATAAACGTGAATATTGACATATTTTAAAATAAACCGGTGTCATGATGCATGGCGATGCTGTATAAATACGTCATATATGGAACAATGTAACCAGTACTCTTTACATTTTATTATTGGTGTATTTTTTGTCTGCGCTGTTGCTGAAGAACACATATCGACAAAATCATCATTTATGTTTTTTATTGTTATTTTATGCTTTTTTCGCGTGGAATATTAAAAGAAATTTACGAAAGTATTCATAAAAATGTTGCTCATCATTTACGAATCAGTTATATAAACGTTATGAATACTTTCTTCTCGTCTTGGTTTTTTCTCCCTTAAACCATAAGGTCTGTTTTGTATTATTAATTACGAGTTTATTTACCTATGTTTTTGTCGATAATCAGCGTTACAATAATTGTGATTAGTTTGTCTTGTATGTGTGCAAATGTGTATCACGTGAACATACGTTTATTGGATATTAGCAGTTGAACTAAAGCTTATAACATGGTAATGAGAGTATTGCTGACGAGCCTCGGTCAAATTATACGTAGTTTTTTGAAATACAAATAGTCGATCGAATATTGGAGATGTACGCGAATATATTGTATTAACTCATTGCCCATTGTATTAAACAAACACACACACACACACACACACACACACACACACACAACATAGTTTCATTTGATAAGCATAACTGCGAACAACTATACCCTTCCTGTGTTTTTACGAATACATAGTTTTAATCGATTGTCATAGTTATAGCATATTATTTGAAAACAAATAAAACATGTTCGTAGCGTTTGCAGACATAATATAATATAATAACCCATTTCGTTAGTATTACCTATAAATATTTTGTTATTCGAATTGCGGATGGTTGTCCCGTAATTAATTATTATTATGCGTTAATAATAATAATAAAAGTAATAAAAAAAAGAAACAGATAAAAACGTATAAAAATAATTATAATGTCGGGAGAATTGTTTAATGTCCCGGACAATACTTGCTATGTTCCTGGTATTCTCTCTGCTATATATATAATTTAAATGTATCATCAGTTGCTGTGTGGTGTGTAGTTAATTGTTTAAAGCTTAAATTTAATCGTATCGATCATTTTAGGAACACGGTGGTAAGGGCCGCTAGCTAACGTTCGAGTATTTAAAATGATCAATACATTTCGACAAATGATATTGTTACAATTATGAAAAATTTATAAAAATTTACAATACTGTTACATATATTGTGCATGCAAATCCGGAAACAATATCATTGGCCTAAGCGCTTTAATAATGTTTTTTTCTATGGCTTTCGACCATACTAGAACTACGTATAATACGTGGAACATATTTTATACCAAAGAGAACATTAGTAGTGTTCTTTTATTTCCTAAACGATATTCATCTTCATATTCTATATAAATTCGAAGAAGAAAAAATTGAAAATTGAAATCTCGTGATTTTATAAGTAGGTCGTAAAAAATAAACATAAACGAAAAAATCCATCGAAAAAAAAAAAACGTAAGGATATTTGTCGATTTCTTTCATTCTTTCATATGTGCATTATATACAGTTATACAATTAATGATCCGTTACACGGACAAAAAATTATAGTCTATTATTTGTTTAGCAGTTAAAAGCATAACCGTGCCCCGTCGGTAGACCATATTAATACACTTCAATAATTTGTGATTTTATGGGAAACTAAAGACTGCACTTTTGTTAAAAGCCAAAGCTATAAATTATGGAACCATGTTAACCGTTAACCGAGATGTTAACCGTGTTTTATTTCTACATAATAGTGTAATAATTATATTAATAAAATAGTTTAATTATCAGTGCTATGTTATAATAGGTATCTGCCACTCGTCCGCGTGTACCATAAACACTACTCGTGTACAGGCGAACAATCGATATTAATTTATTACCATCAAATTTAACTCAAACCGTTTGAACAAAATAAAACGAAATAACGATACAGGGTTTTATTATTTCGTGTCGTACCTGAAGGTTAAAAAATATCTACGTAAAATAACCAAAATTATCGCATTCAATGATTAATATATGCGTGTTACGAATAGTAGGTACTTTGTTGTGAAAATAAAGGCTCAAATACATGTCGACAATCAGTTGAATAAAACGACAATTATGTACGTAAGATCACTTAAAATAATATTTAAGATTGTTAAACTTATTAAAATTATAATAAAGTTATTTAGTCTATTAACATTTAATTGATCAGTATAATCGCAAGTGTAAAAAAAGGCTAAAAGGTTAATTAAAAACTATAGAAATATATTTAATTTTTGTGTAGCCTTGAGCGTGGACAACTTCTGGAGTTATAAACTAGTATAATGATTTTACCACTACTTATGTTATATATTCATTCATATAGTAAAAAATATTTATTATAAAATGTCGTAAAAAAATCTATTACGGATTGAAA